GACTGAAGTCCAGCTATATAAAAATAATCTGTTTCCCTGAATCCCTTTGCTAAATATTACCCTGCTCACACTCCAACAGATCATCACGTCCCAAATACCATTCGTCTCCATTCACTCCTATCGAACACGCTTACGCACGCTGCTGGAAGTCCAAGCCCCTCGCTCACAAAACCTCCCTTACCCCCTCTCTCCAACCCTTTCGAGGACGAGCCCTTTCCCTCCTTCCTTCCCCTATAGATTTATATGCTTTCCATGTCATTCTACTTTGATCCATTCTCTCTAAATGACCAAACCACCTCACAAACCCCTCTTCTGCCCTCTGACTAATGCTTTTATTAACTCCACACCTTCTCCTAATTTCCACACTCCGAATTTTCTGCATAATATTTACACTACACATTGCCCTTAGACAGGACATCTCCACTGCCTCCAACCGCCTCCTCGCTGCTGCATTCACAACCCAAGTTTCACACCCATGTAAGAGTATTGGTACTACTATACTTTCATACATTCCCTTCTTTTTTTGTCTCGACATATACCTCAACGCACCACTCACCTTTTTCCCCTCATCAATTCTATGATTAACCTCATCCTTCATAAATCCATCTGCCGACACGTCAACTCCCAAGTATCTGAAAACATTCACTTCTTCCATACTCCTCCTCCCCAATTTGATATCCAATTTTCCTTTATCTAAATCATTTGATACCCTCATCACCTTACTCTTTTCTATGTTCACTTTCAACTTTCTACCTTTACACACACTCCCAAACTCGTCCACTAACCTTCGCAATTTTTCTTCAGAATTTCCCATAAGCACAGTATCATCAGCAAAAAGCAACTGTGTCAATTCCCATTTTGTATTTGATTCCCCATAATTTAATCCCACCCCTCTCCCAAAACTCCCTAGCATTTACTTCTTTTACAACCCCATCTATAAATACATTAAACAACCATGGTGACATTACACATCCCTGTCTAAGACCTACTTTTACCGGGAAGTAGTCTCCCTCTCTTCTACACACCCTAACCTGAGCCTCACTATCCTCATAAAAACTCTTTACAGCATTTAGTAACTTACCACCTATTCCATATACTTGCAACATCTGCCACATTGCTCCCCTATCCACTCTATCATATGCCTTTTCTAAATCCATAAATGCAATAAAAATTCCCTACCTTTATCTAAATACTGTTCACATATATGCTTCAATGTAAATACTTGATCTATACATCCCCTACCCACTCTAAAACCTCCTTGCTCATCCACAATCCTACATTCTGTCTTACCTCTAATTCTGTCAATTATAGCCCTACCGTACACTTTTCCTGGTATACTCAATAAACTTATTCCTCTCTAATTTTTACAATCTGTTTTGGCCCCCTTCCTTTTATATAAAGGGATTATACATGCTCTCTGCCAATCCCTAGGTACCTTACCCTCTTTCATACATTTATTAAACAAAAATACCAACCACTCCAACACTACATCCCCCCCTGTTTTTAACATTTCTGTCATGATCCCGTTAGTTCCAGCTGCTTTACTCCCTTTCATTCTACGTAATGCCTCACGCACCTCCCCCACATTCACATCCTGTTCTTCTTCACTCCTAAAAGATGGTATACCTCCTTGGCCAGTGCATGAAATTACCGCCTCCCTTTCTTCGTCTTTTAAAAGTTCCTCAAAATATTCTGTCAACCCAAAACGTCCATCTCCCCATCTACTAACTCCCCTACTCTGTTTTAACTGACAAATCCAGTCGTTCTCTAGGCTTTCTCAACTTGTTTAACTCACTCCAAAATTTTTTCTTATTTTCATTAAAATTTCTTGACAGTGCCTCTCCCACTCTGTCATCTGCTCTCCTTTTGCACTCTCTCTCACCACTCTCTTCACCTTTCTTTTACTCTCCATATACTCTACTCTTCTTATAACACTTTTGCTTTGTTGAAACCTCTCATAAGCTAAATTTTTGTCTTTTATCACACTCTTTACTTCATCATTCCACCAATCACTCCTCTTTCCTCCTGCACCCACCCTCCTATAACCATAAACTTCTGCCCCACATTCTAATACTGCATTTTTAAAACTGTTCCAACCCTCTTCAACCCCCTCACTACTCATACTTGCACCAGTCCACCTTTCTGCCAATAGTTACGTATATCTCACCCGAACTTCCTCCTCCCTTAGTTTATACACTTTCACCTCCCTCTTACTTGTTGTTGCCATTTTCCTCCTTTCCCATCTACCTCTTACTCTAACTGTAGCTACAACTAAATAATGATCCAATGTATCAGTTGCCCCTCTATAAACGTGTACATCCTGGAGCCTACCGATCAACCTTTTATTGACCAATACATAATCTAACAAACTACTTTCATTACGTACTATATCATACCTTGTATATTTATTTATCCTCTTCTTTCTTCACGTAGCTCAGTTAAAGGCTCCCCATTTTCATTTACCCCTGGTACCCCAAATTTACCTACTACTCCCTCCACAACATGAGTACAAGAGAGTGGAGTATTCTATTAGGTAATGCTACATGACTTTGATAAGTCTACTAGAGCAGTTCAGTATAGAATAAGAACAGTTTTGACATACAGTGGTACTCTGAGTTTCGTACTCCTCACAACTCGCACCCTTATGTAAGTGTATTATTGTAAGTGCTTTTGTAAGTGTATTTTTGGGGGTCTAAAACGGACTAATCTAATTTATATTATTCCTTATGGGAACAAATTTGTTCAGTAACGGCACTTGAACAGCCTTCTGGAACGAATTATGTACAAAACTCGAGGTACCACTGTAGTTTATACAAATACAGTATTACAATTTAGAACAAGTTAAAATAATTTACAGTGTGAAGTTTTACAATTTAGTACATTTTAAAACAGTGAGATTGAAGCACTTATTGGCTTGAAGTTATGAGTAAATGGTTGAGCAGTCATCAGCAATATACAGTAATGAATCTGAAACATGTTCAAGTTCAAAGTAAATTATCAATTAGTTTAGCAGACTTAAGTTTTTATAATTTTATGAGTAATTGGTAGGTATTCAGTAAAGTGTTTGTCTGGTTAATTTAGGGTGATGAGATGATTTCTAAGCAGGGCCTTATTTTAATTTGCAGGCAGGGGTCCTTTAGTGTGTTATGGTAATAAGTTCCAGATCTTCAGGCCCTTTACGTGCATAGCATTTTTGCATAGGGAGAGATGGACACGTGGGATATCAAAGAGTGATTTGTGTCTAGCATTATGGCTGTTATAGTTATCAAGGAGGAGTTTGAGATGAGGGTTTATATTTGTGTGTAGTGTTCTGTGAATATAGTAAGCACAATAATAAGGATGGATGTTTTGTATATTAAGCAAGTTAAGACTCTTGAAAAGCTGTGGAGTATGCTATCTAGTACAGAAATTAGTAATCAGTCACATTGCAGCTTTTTCTTGGATTATTAAAGGTTTAAGGTGATTTCCTCTGAGCCCATGTACAAATACCATAGGTGAGATAAGGGCAAATGAGTGAGTGGTAAAGAGCAAGAAGAGCCTTGTAGATGAATGGTTCAGAGAACCGACATGTTGTTAAATTAGACACATGTGCAACTCTTGGGTATCTTTATTGAGGAAACGTTTCACCACACAGTGGCTTCATGAATAGATTGATGGACTGACCACATTGACTCAAGGTTGAGGGACTGATCACCTCATTCTCCTCCTGTTCTTCAAGCTTCTCCTTTGTACGGACTGATGAAGCCACTGTGTGGTGAAACATTTCCTCAATAAAGATACCCAAGAGTTGCACATGTGTCTAATTTAACAGCAAGAAGAGCCATTTGGGGTACATAGTACCGTATTTTTGATAGGATGCCTACTGTTTTGGAGACTTTCCTGGATATTTGCTGTATGTGGGTTTGGAATTTGAGTCTGCTGTCAAGGTGGAGACTTAGAAATTTGCCTTCTGTGCGTCTTGAAATGGATTAACCATTTATCACTATGTTTAGCTGTACATTTGAAGCTCTGTTTCCAAATAGCATGAAGTAAGTTTTTCTATATTGAGAATAATTATGTTGTAGTCATCCAAGTAGATATTTTTAGTAATTCATCATTTACAGTGTCTCTTAGTATGGTTGTGTTTGAATGAGAGAAGACTTAAGTAGTGTCATCTGCAAATAAAATGGGTTTAAAGAACTTTGATGCATTTGGGAGGTCATTGATGTAAGTGAGAAAGAGAAGTGGGTCAGGGACACTACCCTGTGGTACTCCAACAAGAACAGGTTGTGTAGTGGAATTAGCCCCATTTGTGTATACATACTGGTTTCTACAGCATGGATATGGGGTGCACAATAAACTAGCCACTTTGGTGGCAAAATCTCTAATCTATTGTTAAGATGAGGTTTTAGGTAATAGAGAAAGTGTTTTCTGACCCCTTAATGTTCGAGTTTTAGGTGCAGTAGGTCATGGTCAACTGTATCAAATGCTTTTGGTACATCTATGAAAAGTCCTAGGGAAATTTCATTTTTTTCTAGTGCCAAATATGTTAGTTCAAGCATATATATAATTGCATCATTAGTACTTTTTTTCGGTCTAAATCCAAACTGACAGGGGCTAAGTATGTTGTGAGATACTAAACAGGAGTAGGCTTGTTTGTGAACTAATTTTTCAAACATTTTAGATAGGGGTAAATTTGATACAGGCTTATAGTTATTCAATTCCGTTGGATCACCTCCTTTGAGGATTGGGGTGACCCTTGTTGTCTTGAGTATGGATGGGAAGGTGGACGATTCAATGGATTTGTTAAAGAGAGTTGCAGTAATTGGTGACAACACATGAGAAGCTTTTTTATACATGAGTGGGGGTAAGTTGTTTAGGTCTCCTGTCCTGTTTTTAGTGAAAGTGTTTCTTTATTTTTTGGGTCACACTGCCTCAGTGGAAGATGGCCAGCATGTTCCAAAAAAAAATTTAATAATAATAATTAATACAAATATTAATGATAATAAAATCTTTCACAGAAAGAAGGAATGCATGTTGCCATGGTGGTTCAACCTGGTAGGCTGGGCCTTTGTTGCAGTTTGCATCGGTTGCTCATGCTTCTTCCTCCTGATGTATGGCATCACATTTGGAAATGCTAAGACTAGTAAATGGGTTTCAACTCTGATTCTTGCTATCTTCTCAGATATTCTCATTATTGATCCTGTGAAGGTAAAGATTTGTCTCTTCATCAGGTGTGTGTGTTATTCATCTGCACTTATTTGTTTTCTTTGACTCACTATATAAATAATACATATTTTACTAATTATAGTAGTAGGCTGGTAGACAGCAACCACCCAGGGAGGTACTACTGTCCTGCCAAATGAGTATAAGACAGAGACCTGTATTTGTTTTACATGATGGAGTGCCATTGTCTTTTTTGCCTCATAAATACTTGAGATAACAGGTATATCTTGCTTCTTTTACTTACAATTAGGTCACACTACACATACATGTACACATTTATGCATACACACACACTTGAGTTTTCCTTGTTTTTTTCTTTATAGTTCTTGTTCTTATTATTTTCCTTTTATATCCACAAGGAAGTGAAATGAGGATTTTTCCTCTGTAAGCCATGCATGTTGTAAAAGTCAACTAAGGGGTTACTAACATTGGGCTAGTAACTTCTTTTCCCGTACAGCTTACTAAAAAAAAAAAAAAAAAAAAAAAAACTTGGGATGTTTAAATGTGCATGGATGTAGTGAGGTAGCTAGTGCTTTGCAGTAATAAAATTTATAGTTGAGATAAAGTACATAAAAGTTAACAGTATATCTATTTAACACTATTTACAATATGAAATAGAAACAATTTTAAGTTTGAAATAATGTTTAAAATAATGTTTAATTTTTTGAGTTGCTGATTAGGTGATAAAGCATAATGTTTGCATGGTTAATTTTGGAAGATGAGATCATTTTTAAGTAGAGCCCTAAATTGATTTGCAGGCAGGGGACGTTTTGCATGTTCTGGCAATGAATTCCAGATCTTGGGGCCCATTATGTGCATAACATTTTTGAGACAGATAAAAGACACCAGCAATCCTACCATCATGCAAAATAATTACAGGCTTCTGTTTCACACTCATTTGGTAGGATGGTATTACCTCCCTGGATGGTTGCTGTGTATTAGCCTACTACCTATATCTACCAACCAACAACCTGTTCTCACCATTATTTGTTGACAGTGCTTCACCCACTCAATCATTTGTTCTCCTTTGCACTCTCTCACCACTCTCTTTATTTTTCTTTTATTCTCCATATACTCCGCCCTTGGTATATCACTTCTGCTTTGTAAAAACTTCTCTTAAGTACTCTTTTTCTCTTTTATTGCACCATTTTCCTCATTCTACCAATCACTCCTGTTTCCTCCTATAGCCTCAAACTTCAGCTCCGCATTTTAACAATGCATTTTTTAAAACTATCCCACCCCTCTTCAACCCCCCCACTACTTACACTCGCACTAGCCCACATTTTTGCCAATAATTGCTTATATCTCACCCTAATTTCCTCCTCCTTTAGTTTATAAACTTTCACCTCTCTCTCTTACTTGCCATTGCAATTTTCCTTGTTCCCCATCTACCTCTAACTCTAACTGTAGCTAAAACTAAGTAATGATCTGATATATCAGTTGCCCCTCTATAAACATGTACATCCTGTAGTCTACCCATCAACCTTTTATCCACCAGTACGTAATTTAGCAAACTATTTTCATTTACGTGCTATATCATATCTTGTTTTCTTATTTATCCTCTTTTTCATAAAATATGTATTACTTATTACCAAATCTCTTTCTACACATAGTTCAATTAAAGGCTCCCCATTGTCATTTACCCCTGGCACCCCAAATTTACCTACTACTCCCTTCACAACATTTTTACCCACTTTAGCATTAAGATGCCCAACCACAAGTACTCTCTCACTTGGTTCAAAACTCCCCACATACTCACTCAACATTTCCCAAAACCTCTCTCTCTCCTCTACACTTCTCTCTTCTCCAGGTGCATAAACACTTGCTATAACCCCTTTTTCACATCCCACCCTTATTTTACTCCACATAGTCTTTGAATTTATACATTTATATTCCCTCTTTTCCTGCCATAACTTAATCTTCAGTATTACTACTACTCCTTCCTTAGCTCTAACTCTATTGGAAACTGCTGACCTAATCCCATTTACTTCTCCCCACTGAAACTCTTCTACCCCCTTTAGCTTTATTTCATTTCATTATATCCACCTTAGGTTAATAATCAAAACTGTAATTCATCTCTACCAATCTTATTAAAGCATATATCATGAACTGATAGACTATTCAACTTTCTTGTATTCATTGTAACTCACCTAATGACCATATATGCAATTACTGCAATGTTATTGCCTTATTAATCTTAAGTATGTCTTAAGTTTGCCCAAAATGCTCTACATATAAAGGTGCTTTTGGCATGTACACATAATTGTTATACTCCTTTGTACAAACATGTATCATGCTAAAATAAAATTATTATTATTATTATTATTATTATTGTTGTTGTTTCGCTTAGAGCCAGGACATTCAGCTTATTTTCATTCATAACCTCTACAATCATCTCTTTCTTATCATTCTGTAGTGTTAGCTGTGATTGTACTTGCTTTTATTCAGGATATAGTCCAGATGTGGTCAAATAATAAGTCACTTGTCTTGGGGATTCTTGTTGGTTTAGTTGTCGATGGTAGAAGCAAGCAGTTGCTCATATTGTTTGTGAACTCAGCTACTTGTGTGTCAAGTTCTTGGATGAGATTAATGTTCAAGTCAGCTGTAAGTATCAGGTGATGTTTAGTCATCTCTGAGTTAGTTATTGTGTTTCTTAGGTTTTCATTATATGTCTAAGTATTTGTCTGAGGTACTCTGTAGATTACTCCAAGTGTTATAGGTGTTTTTTAAGTTATTGGATTTAAATTTTGCAAATAAATATTCACCATATTCATCCTTGATACAAGTACATCTCATCTTAATTTCCTTAAGATTAATAAGGTAATAACAGTATGAGTAATTTTGTACATATACAGTAGGGCCTTGTTTTACGGCGTTTCACCTTATGGTGTTCCGCTAATTCGCACATTTCATATTATGACCAAAACTCGCTATACAGCTCCCCTCACTTGTTTTTCTAATATGGTCACCATGCACCACCCAGTTTGCTTACATTCTCCATGAGCACATCTCTCCACTATGTCTGGAAACTTTCCAAAATTTCAAGTGTTTTAAAGTTATTTCATGTTTTATATACGTATACAGTGGAACCTTGACGTACGAGTTTAATCCATTCTGTGACCTAGCTCGTAACTTAGTTTACTTGTATGTCAGATCAATAGTCTCATTTAAATTAATTGAAATGCCATTAATCCGTTTCAGCGAAATTCCTTCTCTCGAGATGCAGGACAAATACTTTAATATGATGCTAATACCAACTCTACGGCTTATTTATCTATCACAATTCATCTGATATGACATAATAAACAATATAAATAACATGGAAACATGATATATAATCTAGAATGAATAAAATATGTCATGTGACTAGTGGTGGCTCTTACTATAAGAGAAAATGGAGCGTTTGTGAGACTAACTGTACTGGATCACTAGTTTCATAAGGAAAACACTGAAACAGTGTATTTATGAATAAGAAATATTGTATAAAAACATATTAAAACATAATAGAGAGTGTAAAGAAATAAACTGGTTATATAGTCAGTGGCATCATAATGGGGGGGGGGGAGCCCTAGGGGACATAATCAAGGGGTGATACCATAGAGCCTCTAAAGGTGACGCTAATGCCCAAAACAGTGCTGTAGCAACATAAGAAAAAAATCCTTTGTTTCTATATAGCCTATTGTGTGATTACAGAGTACAAAGAGGCCTATACATGTATAGGGAAACTCAGTGACGCTATATGAAAAACTATGATAAATCGATAATTTTATTTACGACATTTTGGAAAAATACTTAATCCACCTGGCATCACTATGATCACTCATCACTGACGTGAGGAGTAGGATTTTCAACAGAGAGTAGAATCAGGTTAAAGGAAAGGATGGCAGGGGAGCAGGCAAGAGATTCCGGACTCAATCTACAGGAAGAAAACGGGGGCAATGTTGGAGTGCATTGATCATTTTCAATATGAACTCGAGAGGCGATCAAAAGCAATCAAGGATGTGGCAGCCATGTTTGGGGTTATTCAGATGAAGAATCTTGTGCAAGTTACTGAAGAAGAATTGGAGGTGATGGTTTCAAGACTCGCAGCAAGAATGAGCTCATGCTTGAAATACCAAGACTAAGGAGGCACCTACAAGCTGCTGATGTTGAACTTGAAAAAGTTAAGCACTGAACTGCATTGGATACACTAACATTCACAGTTGAGTGGGATTTCATTGAATCTCTTCCAACTCTCACACTCTGCCTGAGGTTGTTCCTTACTAGATGTGTTTCTGTGGTTTCTATGAAAGGAGTTTCTCGAAGTTGAAGCTGATTAAAAACTATTTATGGTCTACAGTGAGTCAATCCAGAATCTCTGACTTAGCAATGTTATCCATAGAAAATGGGTCAGTCGACAGCATTGATTTTGATGATGTGATAGATGATTTTGCAGGATTGAGGGCAAAGAAATGTAAGATCTGATTAACTGAGATGTTACATGTACTCAAGGTCAAACCGGAATTAGTGTTTCTCCAATATTGCAATGTTTTTCTTTATCTTTCAAGTTTTTTTGCATTGTTGAAGATGAATAAATGTAGGATCTGTTGCTGGTACTCAAAGTGGCATTTGAGTTTGTTTCCTCAATACAGGTACCATCCGACTTACGACCAAGTTCGGTTCCGACCAACCAGTCATAAGTCGAACTTTACTACTGAATATCAACATCACTTTTTGTAATGACTTTATTTTATTGTTTTATTTTGGTATTTTATTTTTTACTTTATTTTTATACTGTTAGTACTGTATTTTATACCGTAAGGTTTAGGATAAGCACTGTGTACAACACAAACAGTTGTTTATTTCCCAGAAATTTGGCATACAAAACTCGGCCGTAAGTTGAATGGTCGTATGTCGAGCAGGTCATAAGTCAGATGGTAGTTGTATTACTACGATTATTTATTTTATCATTAATAAGTTGAAAAGCATTCTTCTGTTCGGTTTAT